CCGTAGCTCACCCCACTACCCCTTAATCTCCCCCTCATAACCACCACCGTTACTTGTCCCTCTTCATATTCTCATTAGATGTCTATCACTCGTTCCCCAGTCATTCAAACCATTCATCATCGTTTACCGTCATCAACTTCGCTCTCACCGAATTCACGCATCACAGATTTTCCCCCATCGCTCCCTCTCATCCATTTCATTCACCTCATTTCCACCATAACATTCATATGTACCCTTGTTAATTCTTTGTAAAGCACCTCGATTAAGGCGCCTTCATTAAGGCGCTTTATAAATTCCTTTAAGATAAGATGTTGATCCTCTTTCGCACCTTACGAAGCCGACCGTGCTAATCGGAGGTGCGACTTCATCCTGACCCTTAAGGTCATCCAGGAATACAAAACCCTCCCTGTCAGTATGCCTATCCACGGCCTGGCGAGGTGGCCAACAGCATCACCATCTAAGGGGATGGGGGCTAAGCTGAGGCTTGGGGATTATTGTGCTTTTGCCTACCCCCTGCCTTGTCCTTGCATGCCTTAGGTCCAAATGGCTGGCGTCTTCATTTTCTGGAAGCTGCATTAAAAATAGTCTGTTTCTCCTATAACGCGATAGTAGTTTCGTTCCTTAGGAACAACGCGTTAAGTTGAAATGGCGTCGTAATAAATAACATAGGGCAAAGCACAGTCCGCGATAACACGTGCGATGCGTACGCAGGCTGAACCAAGACTGCGGGACGCGGGTAGCATCTAGAATCATCCAGCAGCATCCCGCCTCGTGCGATGTACGCACAACCGCGTATTCCTACTCGCACAACGCAATTCCGTTCACTCTAACGCGGTTCAACCCATTCGCATCAGTGTTATAGAAAAAAGTGCTCTCTAATACATTCGTCGCGTTACATAAAATTCGCGTAATGAAAACAACAACAACATGCGTTAAAGAACAGACCATAATTGGATTTTGCAATGTGCACAGCTACTCTCCGTGATCTTCTTGGTTCTCAGAGAATTATTTTATTATGTTATATTTTTATTATTTTATTATTTCCCTTCTACGTGACTTTACCGAAAGAACCAAGAAGATTAATCCCTGCAGTCACGAAAGCTTTAAATCGAAATACTCTCCGTGACTTTGCCTAAAAGCAACTCCCACAGCCACACAAAGTCTACACTGGTACACGTCACAGCCGCATTCCTCACGGCTAGGCCTGTAGCCACAGATATGCAGACACAATGTGCTGTTGGGCCCAGTTACACTTTCACAGCTGCAACCACTTTAGTTCCCGAGAATTCCCAGATACTACCGCTGCAGACAAAGCAGGTTCCTCTTAACCTGACGGCTTAAATCACATGCACACAGTGCTCATACACATGTCGGTATATATGTGGAACTTCTTTCGTACGGTACGTAGCCAACCATGATAATCGGAAGTGCTGGGAAGGGCAAGAAACTAAACACAAAAGCAGTTTTAAAGAAACGAAAACTAATATGAATCTAGAAATCTGTTTTAAATCTGCAATACAGTACACATCTCAACAGCTATACATTCGGGGAAGAATTACATTTTTTTGGATTCATCCGATAAAAAAAATCCAAAAACCGGGCCTGGATTTAAACCGAAAATGTGAGATCACGTTTTCTAATCAGGTGATGTCAATTTATTGTCACTAAGATAGGTTTAAATTATTAAGCAACGTGAATGATCTACTTCCTAAAAAAAAAAAATTCCTGACATTTGACCTAAAAATACAAAAATATTACATTTTAACATCCAAAGACCCCATCCTTACCGCATACCCATGTGTTACAATTTCTACAACTGTCAGCATGTTGCTGTTTCATGCACATTTCACTCGTCTTTTGCACCCCAAGAGGTCAACAGAAACAGACCAACAAGCCCGCTACTCTTCTAATGTGCATCTTTGATCGCTGAATATGTTCGCCACCACGCAGCAAAAAATAAAAAAATTCTAAGATTACCATGGTTACGATACCCCATTCACCCAAGCAATATTTTTGTTACTGAAATCCAAAATATTTTTTGAGTCCTCATAAAAAATATCTAAAATATAATAAGTTCTTTCTTGATTTGAAGCTTTCGTGACTGCAGGAATCCATACTCTTTGGTTCTTCGGTAAAGTCACGTGGGGTAGAAAATAAAAAAATAGATCACGACGTTTCGGGCGCAACACAAGCATCCGTCATCAGGTGGGATTTTATACCTACGTGACTTTACCGAAAGAACCAAAGAGTATAATTAGTCCTTTTATGAATCCAAGTGCTGAGATGCACTTAAATTGCTTCTTGGACACGTAAATAAGAAAACAAGACACTGATAAATACATTTTGACAAGAGAAAAATTATATGTACAAAAAAAACACGAAAGACAGCGGCTAAAGTACGCATGACATTTGAACAACTGGATGCAACTGGGCGCATCTAACGAAGAGTTCTTGAGGAAATCTCACGGATAGAGAGCTGAATGGAAGGACCACGATTGCCGGTGTCGTTGACCCAGAACATGGCACAGAGAGAGCGTTGAATGAAGGCCACACCAAACTGTGTCCAGTCATGGGAGTTGTTTGACCATATTTCGAACTAAAACTAAACACTCTTTATTTGACCAGGCTATGCCCCACTGAGCTGTGTGTAGCTATTTTTCAGAAGCGACCTGGCTATCACACAAAGCATAGCTCAACGAAGTGGCTATCATCAGGTGGAAATGTATATCAACCAAAAAACGCCTGATGTTGATTCTAAATGCGGAGGGAAAAGCCGGAGAACCCAGAGAAAAATCCACGCGACCACGGACAGAGAGAAACGCACGCAAACTTCAAATATACAGCAGGCATCAGGTCTGGATGGAACCCACCACGACCTTCTGTATACCAGGCGAGGTAGTTAACATCTCCAAGCCACTGTGATGATGATGAGAGAGAAACACGCAAACTCCAAATATACAGCAGGCGTCAGGGTCGGGATGGAACCCACCGCGACCTCCTGTATACCAGACGAGGTAGTTAACATCTCCAAGCCACCGTGATGATGAAAGAGAGACATGCAAACTCCAAATATACAGCCGGCGTCAGGGTCGGGATCGAACCCACGACCTCCTGTACACCAGGCGAGGGAGTTAACATCTCCAAGCCACCGTGATGATGATGATGAGAGACACGCAAACTCCAAATATACAGCAGGCGTCAGGGTCGGGATCGAACCCACGACCTCCTGTATACCAGGCGAGGTAGTTAACATCTCCAAGCCACCGTGATGATGATGATGAGAGAGACGTAAACTCCAAATATATAGCCATTGTCAGGGGTTGGGGATCGAACCCACGACCTCCTGTATACCAGGCGAGGGAGTTAACATCTCCAAGCCACCGTGATGATGATGAGAGAAACACACAAACTCCAAATATACAGCAGCAGGCGTCAGGGTCTGGATGGAACCCATCACGACCTCCTGTACACCAGGCGAGGTAGTTAACATATCGCCACCGTGGCGGTCTGCGCTGGTTGGTGAAGGCAACGCCGCAGAATCCATGTAGCAGTCAAATGGCACAACCTGCTTGTGCACTCCAAGGTGGGCCATCCATCCAAGGAAAAATCCAGGATCAACCCTGCCTTAGCTTGAGATACCTGGCACATTACGAGTGACTTGGGTCAAACTACGAGGCACATTTCCACTGACCACAGCTCAACCTCCGTGACCTCAAGAGAGGTTGGCTGCTTCTCCATTTTTCACCATCAGCATCACGACAAGATAGCCCTGCAAGGTGCCACACTGCACATTTCGTCATGTTTCCACTTTCCTCTGTCTCGTAGTGCCAATATGCTCAAGTGAGTGCCACATCTTTCGGGCACCAATCCTCTTATGATGTCATCCTCAGGCCATCATTCCCTGCTAGGGTCTTACCCCGAACAACCTTTTCTCGAATGCATCTCCAATTTACCACAAAGACCACAGATGCATATTTACCTCGCATGCATTTCCTACGTGACTTTACCGAAAAAACCTAAGAGTATGAATCCTTGCAGTCACAAAAGCTTCAAATCTAGAATGCATTTCCATTGACCACACACATAGACCTCCCCTTTATCTCGGATACATTTACAGTGTTAATATTTACGTCAGAATCATTAAAATTTGTTTACCAACAGACGCATCAGCTGACACATCATGCGTTAGCGTTTTATCTGTTTTTTTTAAGACGCTCCCGAAAATAAGACACCCTTCAAACTTATATCATAATAAAGTTGTACAAACCTGGTCACACGCGGACACACAAAAACAAACATAACCAGACTACAGTACTGGATACAACTTTAAAATTTACATACAATAAAGAGTTGTCTTATTCTTTTGCTGCTATACATTTACAAACGACGATAATTCTATTTCGTTGCGCTATCATTTGTGGCCGGGTCGCTTCTTAAAAAGAAGCCAAATAGTTCAGTGGTGACCCTTATCCCTGTAAGATAGTTTAATAACAAAAAGTTGTGTATATGTTTCGTTAAATGATTTGTTCACCTCTGCTATACTTTGAACTCTGGCACTTTTTTTTACATTAAACAACTCTGATGATGATAATGATATGCACTGTCCTCAACAGAGATTTTTGTTTGCGTTGACCGCTTGTGTTGTGGTTATTGCAAACATGATGCCTTGTATAAAGGTGCCAATTTTTGTACCAGTTGAAAGAGTAAAAACCTATTACTATATTTTGCCACCGGTAAAGGAGATGTCTCATAGTGTAAAAGCTTTATAGCTCTTCGGATTCCTCCTTCCCGTCTACACAAAACATTCCGTTAATCACGATAAGCAAATCCAGTTGCTATTATTACACCCACGTCTCAATGTGCCCCCCCTCTTTACCAAACCACCATTAGCCCCCCAAAAACAACAACAACAACAACAAAAGTAGCGGTGACATCACCGCCGCGCTTAGTGCCAGGCTAGGTGCACCTTAGCCCCCCAAATGATCGCGAAGTTTCCTCACAGATGAGTCCGCCGACGAGGAACGCCATCGTCTGCAGCAGCAGCACCACGGCGCACACCACCAGCAGCTTGCGGCTGCTCATGTTCTCGATGATCGCGCCCTCCGCCATCTCTTCTTCTCTTCTTCTCTCTTCTCTCTCCTACACCGCGTGTGGCGACGAGTATGGAGGAAGGCTGCAACCCCAACAATAACAACAACAACAACCAAAGTTGTTACGCTGCGACTAAGGCCTCGTCGCAACTAAGGCCTCTTCGAGCCCTCCGAGCTTGCCTGAGACGATTGGCCGCGGCTCTTCGGTGGGAGCACCCAACTAAACCCCCCCCCCCCTCCTTCCCTCCTGAACTCCCGAGTAGCTCAACCCGCCTTCACCGCGTGTGACGGCGAGTTAAGAGGAAGGCTGCAACCCCAACAATAACAACAACAATTAAAGTTGTTACGCTGCAACTAAAGGGCCTCGCGGTGCGACTAAGGCCTCGTCGCAACTGAAGGCCTCTTCGAGCCCTCCGAGCTTGCCTGAGACGTTTGGCCGGAGCTCTTCGGCGGTAGCACCCAACCCAACGCCCCTGAACTCCCGAGTAGCTCAACCCGCCTTCACCGCGTGTGACGGCGAGTTAAGAGGAAGGCTGCAACCTCAACAATAACAACCCAAGTTGTTACGCTGCAACTAAGGGCCTCACGGTGCGACTACGGCCTCGTCGCAACTAAGGCCTCTTCGAGCCCTCCGAGCTTGCCTGACACGATTGGCCGGAGCTCTTCGGCGGGAGCACCCAACCCAACCACCCCCTTCCCTCCTGAACTCCCGAGTAGCTCAACCCGCCTTCACCGCGTGTGACAAGTTAAGAGGAAGGCTGCAACCTCAACAATAACAACAACAATCAAAGTTGTTACGCTGCAACTAAAGGGCCTCGCGGTGCGACTAAGGCCTCGTCGCAACTGAAGGCCTCTTCGAGCCCTCCGAGCTTGCCTGAGACGTTTGGCCGGAGCTCTTCGGCGGTAGCACCCAACCCAACGCCCCTGAACTCCCGAGTAGCTCAACCCGCCTTCACCGCGTGTAACGACGAGTTAAGAGGAAGGCTGCAACCTCAACAATAACAACAATCAAAGTTGTTACGCTGCAACTAAGGGCCTCACGGTGCGACTAAGGCCTCGTCGCAACTGAAGGCCTCTTCGAGCCCTGCGAGCTTGCCTGAGACGATTGGCCGCGGCTCTTCGGTGGGAGCACCCAACTAAACCCCCCCCCCTCCTTCCCTCCTGAACTCCCGAGTAGCTCAACCCGCCTTCACCGCGTGTGACGGCGAGTTAAGAGGAAGGCTGCAACCCCAACAATAACAACAACAATTAAAGTTGTTACGCTGCAACTAAAGGGCCTCACGGTGCGACTAAGGCCTTGTCGCAACTGAAGGCCTCTTCGAGCCCTGCGAGCTTGCCTGACACGATTGGCCGGAGCTCTTCGGCGGGAGCACCCAACCAAACCCACCCTTCCCTCCTGAACTCCCGAGTAGTTCAACCCGCCTTCACCGCGTGTGACAAGTTAAGAGGAAGGCTGCAACCTCAACAATAACAACAATCAAAGTTGTTACGCTGCAACTAAGGGCCTCACGGTGCGACTAAGGCCTCGTCGCAACTAAGGCCTCTTCGAGCCCTGCGAGCTTGCCTGACACGATTGGCCGGAGCTCTTCGGCGGGAGCACCCAACCCAAACCCCCCTGAACTCCCGAGTGGCTTAACTCGCACTCACCGCTCCTCTTCCCGCCCTTTTGTTATTCTTACAACTTGGGTCGTCACGGTGTTTTAGTAGAAGGGGGGTTTAGCTGTGCCCCCCACAGTCGACCACTTACAATTTCCTTACTAATCACCTCAAAGTCGTCCTTTAACTATATCCCTTCAAAGTCGCCCTCACAATCGTCCCCCTTACAATCACCTAAGTTGCCCCCCTTACAAAACCTCACAAATCACCTCACAATCACCTAAATGTCGTCCCTCTTACGAATCTCCTCAAAGCCCTCCTTACAATCACCTCACAATTAAAACCTCCCTTAAAAATCACCTCAAAATCACCTCACAGTAGTCCTTTAACTATATCCCTTCAAAAGTCGTCCTTACAATCCCCTCACAATTTAAACCTCCCTTAAAAATCACCTCAAAATCACCTCACAATTTAAACCCCTCTTAAAAATCACCTTAAAATCACCTCACAGTATTCCTTACAATCCCCTCACAATTTAAACCTCCCTTAAAAATCACCTTAAAATCATCTCACAGTATTCCTTACAATCCCCTCACAATTTAAACCTCCCTTAAAAACCACCTCAAAATCACCTCACAATTTAAACCTCCCTTAAAAATCACCTTAAAATCACCTCACCATTTAAACCTCCCTTAAAAATCACCTTAAAATCACCTCACAATTTAAACCTCCCTTAAAAATCACATTAAAATCACCTCACAGTATTCCTTACAATCCCCTCACAATTTAACCCTGTTTACAAATCACCACAAATCACCTTAAAATCACCTCAAAATCACCTCAAAGTCGACGTCTTCACGAATTCCCACGTCCCTCACAACGACCGCACAAAGTTGTCGTTGCCGCCTTCTCTCTCCTCTTCCTCTTTAAACAAAAACAACGATGAAGAAAGCAATGGAGAGATTTGATTTCCCTTCAGCTCTCACGCCACAAACTCAGTCGCTCTCTCCTCGTCGTCGTCCTCCTCTTCGTCTTCGTTGTCGAGAACGAACAAAGCCCATGGGGGCGTAGTGATGATGATGATGGTTGGTAGTGGTTGGTGGTGGTGGGTGGAAGCGACGCCAAAAGTTTTTTTTTGGTTTTTGTTTGAAGTGTTCAGACCACTCCCTCACGAGCCACGCACCACAAAGAAAGCCTCCAACAACCCCCCACCACCATTAAGTCCATCATTGTCATTGTTATTTATGAAGCTCACGGGCTTGTGTTGTGTTTTGTTTGTGTTGTGTCTGTGTGTTTGTGTTGTTGTGTGTGTGTTTGTGTTGTTGTGTGTGTTGTGTGTGAGAAGCCCGTAACACAAACTGTTACAGCTTCAAATCTAGATTGTTACAGTCGGTGTAGAGGTCGTTGTGTGTGTGTGGGGGGGGGTCTCTGTGTGGGGGGGGGGGGTCGTTGTCTGTGTGTGTGGGGGGGTCTCTGTGTGGGGGGGGGGGGTCGTTGTCTGTGTGGGGGGGGGGGGGTCGTTGTCTGTGTGTGGGGTCTCTGTGTGGGGGGGGGGTCGTTGTCTGTGTGGGGGGGGGGTCTCTGTGTGGGGGGGGGGGTCGTTGTCTTTGTGGGGGGGGGGGGTCGTTGTCTTTGTGGGGGGGGGTGTCGTTGTCTGTGTGTGGGGGGGGTCTCTGTGTGGGGGGGGGGGTCGTTGTCTTTGTGGGGGGGGGGGGTCGTTGTCTGTGTGTGGGGAGGGGGGGGGTCGTTGTCTGTGTGTGGGGAGGGGGGGGGTCGTTGTCTGTGTGTGGGGAGGGGGGTCGTTGTCTGTGTGGGGGGGGGGGGGTCGTTGTCTGTGTGTGGGGGGGGGGGGGGTCGTTGTCTGTGTGTGGGGGGGGGGGTCGTTGTCTGTGTGTGGGGAGGGGGGGTCGTTGTCTGTGTGTGGGGTCTCTGTGTGGGGGGGGGGTCGTTGTCTTTGTGGGGGGTCGTTGTCTTTGTGGGGGGGGGGGTCGTTGTCTGTGTGTGGGGTCTCTGTGTGGGGGGGGGTCGTTGTCTGTGTGTGGGGGGGGTCGTTGTCTTTGTCGGGGGGGGGGGGGTCGTTGTCTTTGTGGGGGGGGGTCGTTGTCTTGTGTGGGGGGGGGGGGGGTCGTTGTCTGTGTGGGGGGGGGGGGGGTCGTTGTCTGTGTGGGGGGGGGTCGTTGTCTGTGTGGGGGGGGGGGTCGTCTTTGTGGGGGGGGGGGGTCGTTGTCTGTGTGTGGGGGGGGGGTCGTTGTCTTTGTGGGGGGGGGGGTCGTTGTCTGTGTGTGGGGGGGGGGGTCGTTGTCTTTGTGGGGGGGGGGGTAGTTGTCTGTGTGTGGGGGGGTCGTTGTCTGTGTGGGGGGGGGTCGTTGTCTGTGTGGGGGGGGGGGTCGTTGTCTGTGTGGGGGGGGGGGTCGTTGTCTGTGTGGGGGGGGGGGTCGTTGTCTGTGTGTGGGGGGGGGTCGTTGTCTGTGTGTGGGGGGGGGTCGTTGTCTTTGTGGGGGGGGTCGTTGTCTGTGTGTGGGGGGGGGGGTCGTTGTCTTTGTGGGGGGGGGGGGTCGTTGTCTGTGTGTGGGGGGGGGGGTCGTTGTCTTGTGGGGGGGGGGTCGTTGTCTGTGTGTGGGGGGGGTCGTTGTCTGTGTGGGGGGGGGGGTCGTTGTCTGTGTGTGGGGGGGGTCTCTGTGTGGGGGGGGGGGTCGTTGTGTGGGGGGGGGGGTCGTTGTCTGTGTGGGGGGGGGGGTCGTTGTCTGTGTGTGGGGGGGGGGTCTCTGTGTGGGGGGGGGTCGTTGTCTGTGTGGGGGGGGGGGGGGGTCGTTGTCTGTGTGGGGGGGGGGGTCGTTGTCTGTGTGGGGGGGGGGGTCGTTGTCTGTGTGGGGGGGGGGGGTCGTTGTCTGTGTGGGGGGGGGGGGGTCGTTGTCTGTGTGTGGGGGGGGGGGTCGTTGTCTGTGTGGGGGGGGGGGTCGTTGTCTTTGTGGGGGGGGGTCTCTGTGTGGGGGGGGGGGGTCGTTGTCTTTGTGGGGGGGGGTCGTTGTCTTTGTGGGGGGGGGGGTCGTTGTCTTTGTGGGGGGGGGTCGTTGTCTGTGTGGGGGTCTCTGTGTGGGGGGGGGGTCTCTGTGTGGGGGGGGGGGTCGTTGTCTTTGTGGGGGGGGGGTCGTTGTCTTTGTGGGGGGGGGGGGTCGTTGTCTGTGTGTGGGGGGGGGGTCGTTGTCTGTGTGGGGGGGGGGGTCGTTGTCTGTGTGTGGGGGGGGGTCTCTGTGTGGGGGGGGGTCGTTGTCTGTGTGGGGGGGGGGGGTCGTTGTCTTTGTGGGGGGGGGTCGTTGTCTGTGTGGGGGGGGGGTCGTTGTCTTTGTGGGGGGGGGGGTCGTTGTCTGTGTGTGGGGGGGGGGGTCGTTGTCTGTGTGTGGGGGGGGGTCGTTGTCTTTGTGGGGGGGGGGGTCGTTGTCTGTGTGTGGGGGGGGGGTCGTTGTCTTTGTGGGGGGGGGGGGTCGTTGTCTGTGTGGGGGGGGGGGGTCGTTGTCTGTGTGTGGGGGGGGGTCTCTGTGTGTGGGGGGGGGGGTCGTTGTGTGGGGGGGGGTCGTTGTCTTTGTGGGGGGGGGGGGTCGTTGTCTGTGTGGGGGGGGGGGGTCGTTGTCTTTGTGGGGGGGGGGTCGTTGTCTGTGTGTGGGGGGGGGTCGTTGTCTTTGTGGGGGGGGGGGTCGTTGTCTGTGTGTGGGGGGGGGGGTCGTTGTCTTTGTGGGGGGGGGGGGTCGTTGTCTGTGTGTGGGGGGGGGTCGTTGTCTGTGTGGGGGGGGGGGGTCGTTGTCTGTGTGTGGGGGGGGGGGGGTCGTTGTGTGGGGGGGGGTCGTTGTCTTTGTGGGGGGGGGGGTCGTTGTCTGTGTGTGGGGGGGGTCGCTGTCTTTGTGGGGGGGGGGGGTCGTTGTCTGTGTGTGGGGGGGGGTCGTTGTCTTTGTGGGGGGGGGGTCGTTGTCTGTGTGTGGGGGGGGGTCTCTGTGTGGGGGGGGGGGGGTCGTTGTGTGGGGGGGGGGGGTCGTTGTCTGTGTGTGGGTGGGGGGGTCGTTGTCTGTGTGGGGGGGGGGGGGTCGTTGTCACAGTATCACCAAATGCCCCCCCCCCTACCCTACTGTGCGTTCACGAGTCACTTGAAGGGATCTCAGGCGTAGTTCTGTGATGTCCGCTTCCACGGACAACTGTCAGGACGCCACTGCTCTGTGATAGGAGATCCGAATGCAATCGCCATCTCATCTCTCGTGACGCACGGTATTTGAGTTCGGCGGCAGCCAAGATTGAGGGAGCGATGGAATCTGCTCGCGTGCAAGGCGCTGCTGGGTGGATTTTTTAAATCCTTTTCAACAGGTCCCTGCGGGGTGGGCTGGTAGGAACGAACAAATGAATGGCTATAATAAAATGAAATGGCGGGGGTACGATACGAAGAGAGAGTTTGAGGCCTAGTTCTAGGCTTTAGGCCTAGCTGTAGGCTTTAGGCCGCTGTGAGTTAATTTTTAATTTAAATGTTTTAATTAAAAACTATCTCAGGGAATAATAAGGGAATGTTACACTTGTTTAGCCAGGAAAGCCCCACTGAGTCTAAAGGTTTTTGTAGGGTCCTGGCAAGTGTTTGCAGTAGGGGGCGATGTTGCTACACCAAATCGGACGATACGAAGGGAGAGTTTGAGGCCTAGTTCTAGGCTTTAGGCCTAGCTGTAGGCTTTAGGCCGCTGTGAGTTAAATTTTAATTAAAATGTTTTAATTATTAATGTAAAAGCTTTAAATTTAAATGTTTCTATTTAAAAACATCAGGGAATGTAACATTGTTAAACATTAACTCCCTTTGACACACGCGGGGGTACGATACGAAGGGAGAGTTTGAGGCCTAGTTCTAGGCTTTAGGCCTAGCTGTAGGCTTTAGGCCGCTGTGAGTTAATTTTTAATTTAAATGTTTTAATTAAAAACTATCTCAGGGAATTATAAGGGAATGTTACACTTGTTTAGCCAGGAAAGCCTCACTGAGTCTAAAGGTTTTTGTAGGGTCATGCCAAGTGTTTGCAGTAGGGGGCGATGTTGCTACACCAAATCGGACGATACGAAGGGAGAGTTTGAGGCCTAGTTCTAGGCTTTAGGCCTAGCTGTAGGCTTTATGCCGCTGTGAGTTAATTTTTAATTTAAATGTTTTAATTAATAATGTAAAAGCTTTAAATGTAAATGTTTCTATTTAAAAACATCAGGGAATGTAACATTGTTAAACATTATCTCCCTTTCACACACGCAGGGGTACGATACGAAGGGAGAGTTTGAGGCCTAGTTCTAGGCTTTAGGCCTAGCTGTAGGCTTTAGGCCGCTGTGAGTTAATTTTTAATTTAAATGTTTTAATTAAAAACTATCTCAGGGAATTATTTAAAAACTATCTCAGGGAATTATAAGGGAATGTTACACTTGTTTAGCCAGGAAAGCCTCACTGAGTCTAAAGGTTTGTGTAGGGTCCTGCCAAGTGTTTGCAGTAGGGGGCGATGTTGCTACACCTAATCGGACATCGGACGGACGGACGATATAATCTATTGTAGGCTGGTTCACTTCGTTCCTACCAGTATATGTTCACTTGCTTGCTTGCTTACGACCTTGCAAATCTTTCGGTCGTTTTTTAACCCACTTCCCGTGATCCAATCGAGCTGACATTTTGCACACAGACTCCGTTGTGCGTGATAATTTATTTTCGTGAAAAAAAATATCCAAAATTTTCCACTTTTTAGGAAACATTTTTTTTCATATTTAATTTAAAATACCAATGTGATAAAAATGAAACTCTTACTCAAGAAAAACAGAAATGAATAATAAAATAAAACCGATGCCACGCATATAAAGGATTTTTAGTGAAAAACTTTGTTTTTAAATCCTTTATATTAAGTTCGATTGCTTGCTTAGGACCGTGCAAATCTTTCGGTCGTTTTTTAACCCACTTCCCGGGATCCAATCGAGCTGACATTTTGCACACAGACTCGTTGTGCGTGACAAAAAATTACACTGTTTAGGGAATTTTTTAAAAAATATTTAATTACCAATTGTTTAATGCTGCCAGACAATCATCTGACCAATAGGTGGCAGCCATCTCAAGCCAGAGGACGAGAGGACTCTAGCCGCCCCGATGCCACGCATATAAAGGATTTATAGTGAAAAACTTTGTTTTTACGGGTAAATTTTTTCCTGCGGGGGGGCTGGAGGATCGTGAGTGGTGGCGACGTCCTGAGGAGGCCTTCATACACGGTTGTTGATGATAATGATGAAGATGATCAATACATAGCCCATCATCGCTCAGAGGGTCCGTAAAATGACTATCAATTTTGTGGTTAAGTCTTAACCTGCG